TGTTTGCGACGGCGAACGTCGATTCAAAAAACGTAATATAACAGATAATACATTTTTAAGACTATGTAATCCGAACAGACGGCGAAGTTAAGATAGTCGGCGATGCTCTTTACAGCCCGTATCTCTTTTAAGAGCGATGCAGGATCGGTTTGGCCCAAATTCGAAGCTTCAGGTAGGTACATTTTTTCACGACTAGCACGAAAAACAATACTTTCGAAAACGCCGCCGAGGCGTCCGAAACGTTTTTCAACTTTACATCTGTGGTTTTATACGGCAGTCAATAAGACATAGATAATCCATACAGCCACATACAGAGGTGTTGCATTAACGAGACGTTGCTGGGTAAACAATGATTTTATCAATAAAACATCTTGGAAAATTAATAATAAATTACATTAAAACTGAATTCTGTCAATTTCATTGTTGTTTTGACGACAACAGTTTATATTTCGGAATATTTGAAAACAACTGAGAGATAAAGCAGGTGCGCACGGGTCCCTCCGTATCCTAAGACTTTAACAGTGTCGTACAATGTTTTTGATATTCTCTTCCGTTGCGGTACCAAGGATGACTTGTTTTATTTATGCGTTTGTACAAATTTCCAGTGCCTCTTTTTATAATAATGTGTATGAAGCAGTGCAAAGGGTATTCTTATATTGTTATATCAATTACACAGGAGTGTATAGAGATTTGTTGATATTTGGAGTGAAAGTCGAAAATGGAGCACACCAGGGGAGTAAAATTTTTTTATATTTCAAGCATATTGAGCCAAGTGAAGCATGACTACACTATTTGCTTTTTTGCCGAACATTGAAGTCCCAAATACTTTTATATAGACAAATCCAAACCCACTTATATAAAGGAGTGGCATATCCTATTAAGAGGATGATCCTAAGGGTGGCGAGGACGAACCAAAAGGAATCAAATCTGTATGTCGTTGAAAATATAAGAAATGCGATGCAATTTTGTTCCCTATACAAATCTAGTATAAATGTGTAGCTTCAGTTTTAATAATATCATCTTATTATTCGTATACATAATCCCAGAACGGTCGCCAATTTTATATGTTTTCAGCAACATACTGATATCGTTTTGAATTCTCATAGTCCCAACAGAATTTGAATAGCGGCTTCTAGACGACCCCATATTTACAGGATCTTGTTTCGGTGGATTACAATCCCTTCCATGTCTATTTGAAAAAATGTTTTTTAATAACACTGCTTCTGGCGGCGGCTATTGAAATTAAGTTTTCCAAATGATGAACCGACGTGGATGTTCAGGTTGAATGCGGGCCTGTGCCGGTGGCAAACCTTGAAAAGTCCAATTAAAAAACGAGTACGAACCGCTCTTGAAACTATAAAACGTCAGAAACTGTGTCGTTTTGCTTTCACTTAATAGACCTTAAACGTTTCTGGGAAGGTTCGTTCGGTTTTGTTGTGGAAATGAGCTTTGGTTGAAATGAGCGCTTCTCGCTCAGCTCGGCAAGGGATTGCCATTGCTTGAAATATCCGCTTTACGACGTAGGGATCGCTTTAAACCAAGCAAGTTATTACGTATGCGTTTTAGATTTATGTACTGTGTACTTTTCTCGAAGTAGGAGATGATACAAGGTTGTAATGAATAATGGAGTCATCCAGATTGACCAACCTTCTGTCTCTACTGTATCAGAATCTATATATGGTCATAGAATATTGGAATTTGGTGTGTGGCATGCAGACATGTGACCGAATTTATCTTGGAACCATTTTTATACGAAATCCCAATTATTCAAAACTTCGTTTTGCAGTAACATGATGATACATTTAGGGTCATTTTCACCAACAACAGTCCGTTATTCTCCACCTATAGGGTAACAGCCAGTTAAATACAGCGAATGAGCTTCAAGTTCCAATCAACAAATTTTAGCAACCAATAGCTATGAAATGTTGAAAACAAAATACTGTTAAAGTATGAGATGACATCTTGCCATTGAAACATCATCAGCTTATTGAATATTAAGAAATTACATATAATTCAGTCAAAATTTAAAGAAATGTTGGATTTTTGAATAAAATTCATGATTTAATTAGTTAAGTTAAGTTCATAGATATTGCCCGTTTCCAAACATGCATTCATTTACTTGCCGTTCATCAGAACCATTATGGTACCTTAGATTGATATTCCGACAAAACCATTCTGGTTTTTTAATATCCATACATCCATAAAGTTGAATATTTTTCGTTGTTCAGGAACTTAACAAACATCCACACTATATTCACAGCGATTAAGAAATACCCAAATATATGTCGTAGAGCTACCAGCAAACCTAAAACCTGCAGAGAAACTAGAAATTTGCAATATTTTTCTTTTTTCACTGAGTACATATTCTGGGTTATATTTATATTAGACGTTATTTGAATCACAAAACATATACACTGATTTGAATAACAGCTGATTATCTCCTGATATTTTAAAACTAGCCATATCGACAAGTGACACATAATTCTGTGGGATCCGTCAACACTTCGTCCCAGTCGCCAGTGGAGCAAACTCTGCCAACTGTCGAAATAAACTTTATTAATTCCAAGTCTTATTTTTGTTTTACTGTGCCTGCTTAGATATTCAAATACGGCCAGGAATTATTAGCGCCTTTCTATTTTAGGCCTTCAATAACTCCTTATTTTAGATATCTCCTTATTTTGTTTTTTCCACGCATTCATGGGAGAAAGAAAAATATTTTATCGAATATCGATACCGTATACCGTACAGCAGGCACGCCCATCACTACTTTGACAGATTGCAGAATGATGTCAAGGTGACAATCGTTATGTGGCAGTTGTTTTTGTCTGAAATAGGCAAGTAGGCTTTGTGTATTCATTTTTATTTTTATAGCGTTTCCAGAATTTCATATTTCGAAACGATGTCAAGGGCCGGCAGGGGAAAATCTTTCTCTATCGTCGCCATCCCTATATTGTATCCCCACCAGTCATCAGTCAAAAACCTTAACCACCAATATTTTAGGATGGGGACGACCATACTGTTTTGATTGCTTTGAAGAAATTAACAAACGACCAAACCTGCTGCCAAATTTAACAGCTAGAAAATCGACCTATTATTTCTCCCATTCCCATTCGCTGAGGGGATAACTGGTGGTCAAATGTACATCTATAACATAAATCAAAATACATGAAAGTTGTCCTGTTTCCTCTGTACAAAAGCATCATGTTGGATTCAAAAGTGGTCTATACAGTCGAATTTTGACGATTTTATTCAACATTTTAATAGAAATCACTGATATTCTGAGACCTTTGACAGCTTCCGTCAAATTGCATTTCGATAAGGTATTTTCCTATTGGTCCATAATATTAGTGTTGGTGAAATCGGCCCTAAATCTAGTTTTAATGCAAGGGGGTCAGGGGTGAAGCATAAAGATCAACCCCTGTAGGGTTGAATGTATGACTGCAGACAATGAGGAAGACGAGCAAAGAGGAAGCAACTCTTTGGTAAACCAAGACAGTTTCTATATCTCGTTGAAATAAACATGAGTACTCGACCACTGTTTCTATTCGCTTGTCGCTGCCACAATGACGCGCGTAAGTGTTTTCTTTGACGGGGCGCAAATGGGATTTGAAAACATTATAATACAAAACTCACGACTGCTTGAGTGGGTACTATAAAACCATGAATGAACTACGATGAACCAGAAAAGATGGTAGATCTCGGTCAGATGTCTTCTGAGGGAAAAGGTAACTTTTTCATTTTACGAAACAAAATGTGGGTGCTTGAGAAAATGTGAGTTTTAATTAAAGAATGTTTCTGTAGAAAACCAAAAGTCAAAGTTACAGCCTCGAAATGACTCAGAAATATTTAATGATCAAAATCATTTAGTCACGATTTATACTATCGCAAAGCAGCAAAAAAGTTAAGTAGAAACAAATCCAAACTAATGAATTGGCCATAATTCATCAACATCTATACCTATAAATTACACGGCAGAAATTAAGAAAAATCCGTGGTGGTATCGTAACTACCAATTTGCTTAATTTTCTATGCCTATAGTGGCCGAAATATAATCTATATTAATTAACTATTCAATCATATACTAGCAATGGTTTATACTTAATATGCGCATAATAATTGGTCATTATATCATGTTTCATAGTATAATATTTTTGTTATGCTTGTGGTGGTCTACGTTTTTAAACTTTATTCAGCTTTTCATTTCGAGTAGCACAACATTTTTAAGAAGCTGAACCGATTCTTACCTTGCCAGATCCTTGTGCCATTTTTAACTTGTCAAATTCCATACAATTTTAACTACTTCATCTTTATATACTCGTAGTTTGCATAAGAGACAAACAGGTATTTTGCTTTCATCAAGAATATATTTTAATATAAAAATACTGTTCGACATACAGCTTATTGAATAACAATATTTAAGATGTGGATTTTTGAGTCCATTTTAAAAAGAAACCTTTGTATGAACGTATGTACTTAGAGCGTTAACTTTTAAGATATAGGGTGGTAAACTTTTAAAAAATATGTCATTTGACACGACATTAAAATTTCATTAAATATAAAAAATTAATCTGTATTCGTTTATAAGCAGATTTGATCTCTTGAATTTTTAAGTCTGACGCTGTTTTTATGATGATCATGCAGAACTGTTTTTATTGCCATTTGACGAATAATTTTTATTTTAAAGAGAAATCAGTAGCGTACCACCAATATCCGTGAAAATAGGCAGGTGAAAGCTATAAGTGTAAATTAAAAAAAAAATTGTTATATTAAAAATGCTTCTTGACACAGTACTTGTATGGCAAACTTCATAATAATATCTAAAGTGGTATTAGAGATCTTAATAATAAATTATTTATTTCTCAAAACTTTACCCTGTATCTCAATTTTATAAGACGTTTTGGACATACGTTCCTATGAAGATTTCTTCTTAAAATGGGCCCAAAAATCGTCCCCTTAAATCAATTAGGACGGTAGCATTTTATTTCGTGTAAGGTACTTACATTTGCGCCTGAGGTTTCGTTTCGGATTTTTTCCTTTTCTTTGTGACCCCGGTGGCCAAGGCGCTCATCTTGGCCCACACAGGGTCCTGCAACTCACAAGGACCAAGCCTGAAATAAAAAACAAAATTCAATATATCATCCTCACAAAAATGTGTAAAAAATGAGTATCTTGAGAACCTTTATATGATGCTTATCTAAAGCAGGGTTTCTGAAAGCGAGTTTCGGCGATTGAAAAAAATGGAGCGGAGAAGGGGGAGGGGAGTATGATCAAGCGCCCACGATACATCAAATATCGATATTTTGATTTATTGGAACGGTTCATGGACCAGAGCCTTGAGGTGGGGACTTACATCCCAAAATAATGAGAAAAACGAGCATTTCAGGAAAAAAATAAGTAGCTGAAAAAATAATGAGTCCATATACACACTGCAGTTGACTGCAGTCGCAAAATACAGGTAAATATCAAATATTGTGCACAATAAACATAAAGCACCCAAAAAAAAGTTTGCACTTGTGTTTGGGTTAAAAATAAAAACTAATAGTACAGTCAGTGTAAAAAAAGAACGAACGAAGAAAAAAAAACGTTAATACTGTATAATTTGGTGAATTATTATGGTAATGTCAGGAAAAATATCCAGACAATTATAACTAAAGTAAAAGTATGGATGTTAGTGTAAGTAAAATATTATTGATTTTGATAATGATTTTTCAGATCTACAATTTCGTGGATGGAGTACCTTGGTTGTTGTAAAATCCATTTTTTTAGTTCCTTTTAAATGATTTATTTGATTTAATTACTTTTAATGACTCTGGTATGAAGTTATAGAATTTTGGTCCCAAGAAAAACAGAGATCGTTGTGTAATGGTTTTTGATGTTTGTGGAATACACATTGAATTTTGGTTGAATCTTGTTGGGTAGTTATGAATGGTACGATTCAAGTATTTCGAATATTTGTATTAGACCACAATAAACATAAATTTGTGTGCAATCTAATAGCTGAGCCTCCACATATAGAAAATCACTTGAATAAGTAATCTCCCTATCGAGAATCAATTTTAGAACTAATTTTTGGATCACATCAACCTTTTTGTAATTATTATTCATAACTCCACCCCAAACCAAAATTCCGTAAATTAATAGAGGATAAACAAGAGCATAATATAGATTATATAGATATTTCTTATCTAGAATATCTCTGAAGTACCTGAATTTTGGAATAATACATCTCTTCACAAGGTACTCTGTATGGGTATCCCTTTTTAAGTGTTTGTCCAAAATCGCGCCTAAGTATTTTATTTTATCCGTTGACTGAATCTCTTTGAGACCATTGTTTGTATGAACTTCAAGTTTTTTAAATTGTGGTGAGAGCCTGTCGTTACAAGAAAATGCTATATAGTGTGTTTTGTTGTAATTAATTGTCATAGTTCTTTCCGAAAATAAATTTATAATTGTTTTGAAATCATGTTCGATTGTGATTCTCTAGTTTGCCCAATAGTCAGCGCGTACGACGTACGTTGATCTGGCGTCTGCTTATACCCACCCTAGCCTCGGGAACGATGCAGGAAATCCATCCTAGTCAGTTAACTGGCTAGCTATCTCATTAACCGGTACTCCATCATGGCCGGGGACCCAAAGCACGGTCACCTCTTTGCTTAACTATGAAGAGCAGTATTTTAAATGATATTTCTGCAACTCGTAATACTCGGTATGCAGATAATGGTAACAATGCAGTCGCCAGGAAGCGTTCCGCTTATTGGCTGTTACACACGTAGTATTTAAATCGGATTTTCCCGCATTGAAGCACACAAATTGCGTACTCGAACACGTATTTGTCGGTGTTAACATTGCTGATAAACACAAATTAAAAGCATCGATCGACCCACTGACCCCAATACTGGATTTGAAACAATGGCGACAACTATTTCAGTCATTGCGAAAACGTTACGCAAACATTCAACGTTAAATTGTCACCACTGTTTTTTCCCATATCGTGTAATCAACAATCTGTTAGTATAATAATGATTGTGTTGAGCGCATTTTCACATTCACGTTTCATGTTGTAGGTATTTACTTGTTCAAATTTTCTCCTAAAAATTAATTATGTAAGAAACTAAAACTATGTTAGCTCACCGTTTCATAAATATTTATTCTGAGATTTATCAGGTTTCCACTTGCACTATTATCTAGGACTTATACACAGCGAAGTAATTCTTAGCTCTAGACAGATATTACACTGCCACGCAAAATTAACCGGATAAACAAAATTTTGTTCAAATTAAATTTGAACTAACTTTTAAACCTTCGCATGAATTTCGTTAAATTTTTGGTCAATTTGTAGGTAATTTGATTGTCATCATCATCGAGTGACGATCTTGGAAAAAATTGAAAATTTTTGTTGCTATACAGGGTGTAACTGAAAGGTGCATTTTGCCCTAAATTTCTGAACACCCTGTGGAAAGACTGGATTACTGAATAATGGGCCTTCGTATGAGAATTTTAAGCCTCAACAGTTCTTTTTTTGATTCATGTCAATATCTCAATTATTGTAGAATATATGCTGTTTTGAAGAAAATCATGCGAATCATAGCCATAAACAAGAAATTGTTTTTATGGCAGGTCAAAAAGATTCTTGTCAAGCAATACTGAACAAAAGGACACCGGAACAAGTAGCGCAAGCTGTAGGTTTACAAGATGATGGTCGTCCTATTCGGTATATCGCAGAAAGGCTTGCCGTTCCACGCAGTGCGGTATTCGATGCAATACAAAGATTTAGAGAAACTGTTTTTTACTCAAGAAGACCTAGACAGGGAAGACGGAAAGCAACAAATGCAGTTGAAGGTCGGTTTCTGAGACTGCAAGCTCTTCGAGAAAGGACAGTTCCTGCTACGGCTGTGACTCGAAGATTGGATGATGTTCAAGGTACCATAGTTTCATCTGATACCGTACACCGAAGGTATTAGGTGAACAAGAAACATTTTCAATTTTTTGCACGATCGAAAGTCAATAAAAAAATTTAATTTCAACAAAATTTTGTTTCTCCGGTTAATTTTGCGTGGCAGTGTATATTGTCTTCGGTGCGGTGCAAGCAGAATTGGATAGATTCTTGACAGGTAGTGAAAACCCCCCAGGTCTTGCGCTTTTTTCACATTCCCTGTCATCTCTCTGAAAAACGGCTACTGCGACATTAGAAATCCGTGAACGAGGGACATAGATAGTAAAACGCTTGTTTTACGACCCTTCAACATATGATTTCTTACATACTTTCATTCAGAAGTATATTTTTATTTTGCTTGAGTTGGAAGTTTATCGTTTTACGTCACGACATAAATACAAGAAAATGGTTGTCATAGAACCAAAGCACTGTTTGATGCTCGCGTTTAATATGTCTTTATTTTCCCAGTTATTCTTGGGAATCATAAAATATATACGATCCGTAAAGTTTATGCTGTCATTTCGCCACTATAGAGGAAAATGAGCAGCATATAAAATATACTTGCATGTCAGTTTCCAAAACATCTAATTTCTTTAAATATTACGTATTATGATGTATTTTGGCGTTGCACGATTTCTATTTCAAGAATTTTTAAAAATTCATCGAAATATTAACTTATTTGATAGAGCAAGCAGGCAATACTGAATTGCAAGTGTCGCAAACGTATTAGACACATCTGTAATGATATAAATGTGTCACTCACACAGGCCTACCAGATCCGCCGGGTGGTACCTCCGCGTTCGACAGTCAGAGACCGTCTACCACCTAAGGACAATCACAACATCCATAGCAAAGAGAAAAATTTCTCTTGGGACGGGATTCGAACCCGCGCAACGCACGGCAACTGATCAGGAGACCGAAGAGTCTACCACTGCGGCCACAACTGACTTTGCTTCTCAGAGCTCTCCTCCATCATCAGAAACGAATAAGATGACACGCGTGACTGCTATGGATCCGCCAGTATCAGTGAATTTCTACTTAACCCTATAAAACAATAATTACCGACGTCCAGGCTACAGGGTCAGTAAATCTCACATTACATGATAAATACTTACGGATCAAAGTAAATAAAAAGTATATTAGCTTGTGACTGCCCACATGTACAGGACAAAGAAATTCCTCAGCGAAGGTAAAAATCCCAAAATATGGAAACCCTGCTATCCTTCTTCTAACATAGAATAAAGGACCTTTTTTCTGTGACGGGAAAAGAGTTTGACATTTTATCTCAATTGACAGGTAACAAAATGTCACTTTTTATGATATTACTTTTTCCCAGAAAAAAAATGAGTACTTTTTTACCGGATATTGTATATACGATTTAGCTGGCAATAATTTTTGTGACGCTTCTTTGGCTACTTCTACTAATTCCGGTGGAGTCAAAGGAAACTCGGAATCAGACATTTTTATTCTTTATAGTATTAAACATAATTTATAAACCATTAAGTTCACAATTTTTAAATCAAATCACAAAATTAAATTCACAGCTATTTCATTAATTTTAAAGTTAATAAATATTGTAATAATATAATTTTTCAATATTAAATCGTTGTTTTTCCCATCACAGAAAAACACACGGGAAAATTACTAGATTTTAGCTTACGGTTTTTTGTTTCTAATACTTTTTTCCCTTGTATAATAAATAAATATTGATTTTTCGCAAGTATTAAATCCAATATTATTTCTTATATTATAATATTTAGAATATCCATAAAATGTCTTTAGGTAGATGATTGGAAAGTAATGAGTCAGTCTCTTCGACTCTAATTTTCATTGACACATTTATGACAGACGGAAAATTTTGTAACACCTGTATAACCCGCAATGCAATCAAAATGCAATTTAGTTTAACGGATTTAACGCGATTCTCGGTAATACGTCCGACCGATTCGAAAACAAAGAAATGCTTTAAATAGGTCAAGGTGTGCGACTCTTTTATTATATAAATATTTGTTTTTGTTTCACTTTATACTGCAAACAACAGAAAATAAGTACATATTAGCATTGCATTGTCGAGAATAAAAGGACTTTCTGTCACGTCTGTCTGCTATGCTATTTGTAATTGTTACACTACAAAAGTTATGGTTTGATTTGCATAACATTTTTTAAGATAAATACAGAGCGATTTGGAAAAAGCTGTGCCAATATTCATGGGTCAAA